TGTTGCATGCGAAGAGCGCCTCTAAGACATCGTTTGAGCCATTGACCCCCTCTGGTCCAATGCCTCCAGGCACCTTGGAAGCCTCGCTGTATGTCCCTGCCCATCCAGCTTAGTCGTTTAGTCGAGTTCCACCAATTCAGGATTGCACCGCTCGCAGACAAGCCGAAGAACAGAGAGAGTGAACTCCATGTCGAACCAAGACAATTCTCGAAGTATACGGAAATGTGCTGGGGCTCGAAGGAGAGCCCACCCTTCGTACACCATGAAGCATGCTGAGTCCATGGCCCATCTGCATTCACATCGGTGTCTGAACAGCAACTGGAGTCTGACACTCTGCGGCAGCCACTCCAGGAAAAGTTCCTGTAGCAGCCATTTCTTGACGAAGTCGCCGAGCGGATCTGGTTCGTACCAAAGTCGTGGTATTTTGTTCCAGCCGTGAAAGGGCAGGAGAGTTTTGCAGCTTTGGCTGACCATGGCTCAGGGGGGCTTCGTAGCTGTTGCGTCAAGGCCCTGTGTTTCGACGCCCAGCTCACACACCCACACACACACACACCCAAAATCCACAGATTCCTCACCCCAGATTTGGCCACTTTGTGGCCTTCGTTCATCTCTTTGGCCCTCCAGGCCAGCATCGTGGAGCCGAGATGCTTATACATACATACATACATACGTACATACATACATACATACATACATACATACGTACGTACGTACATACATACATGCATGCATGCATGGGTGCGTGCGTGCGTGCGTGCGTGTGTGTGTGTGTGTGCGCGTGTATGTATGCATGTATCTTTGCGTATGTCTGTGTATGTGTGTGTATGTATGTATGTATGTACGTACGTATGTATGTGTGTATATGTGTGTATGTATGTATGTATGCATGTATGTATGCATGTATGCATGTGTGCATGTATGCATGTATGCATGTATGCATGTATGCATGTATGCATGTATGTAACTCTAGATGCATATGTGTGCGTGTGTATTTATGTAGAACAATGTGGGTATGCGTGTATACAGACATATACGTATACATGTGTGTGTACATATAATTTATGTACATTGTACATACATACATGCACATATGCATCTAATATATATATATATATGTATATAAAATTATTATGTATATAGGAAATACACATATACACCATAGCTAGATAGATCGATAGATAGATAGATAGATAGACCAATGCTGCAAAGACCTAAACGACAGAAATCCCCCCAAAGTCGTCGAAGAGTCCTGGACGGCCTTGAAAAAGGCCGGTCGGGTCATGCCCACGTTCCCACCGAACTCTCGATACAAGAGCGCGACCTGCTCCTGCATCGTCTCAGGGATGAAGGCTTCGGGATGAAGTTTAGTCAGTGTGGTCTCTGTCACACGCAGGACACTCTGTGAAAACGCTTGGGTTCAAAGTTCGAAGGGTGCTGCTTATCAGCGCGCCCACAACACCCTGAACCTGGAAGTAACATTGAGTCTCGCTGCAGGCTCTCTGAGACGGCTTCTAAGATTCCACGCCACGCTCCCGAAACCCTCCCACACGACACGTCCTGGGTCAGGTCAGCTGTCAAGCTGGAGACATATGCTTGGAACTCAGGCAGGGAAAGCTGCTCGGCGTCTCCCTTCAGGGCGCTGTCAAAGGCGGCATCGCGCGTAGTGCCTTGCTTTCGAAATGCGGTCCTTTCGGCGCAGAGAGGGCGCGAAGGATGCTGAGTCGCAGCAACAGCAGCAAGACAGCTAGGTCTGGGCTAAGAGCTGGCGGGCTCACGGAGCGAGGTGTGCATGTGGGCGAGTGCTCGCAGGGGCATTTTCGATTGCTGGGGCTACAGAGCTGTTTGTCTTACCTAGGGGCGGAGAAGTTCGAGGAAACAAGCACTTCTTGGCTTGTGAGCATTCTTTGATGGCACCTGTGAACCGAGACTGACAACAACACAAAGCCTGGTACTCCGAAGAATACAGAAGCCGAGGTCAAGCACCACAGGCAAGACCCTGAAGCGTTCGGAGGCACAACAACCGACTGACTTGACCCTAAAGCTCGAACACAAATTGACAATGAGAACTTCCCAGATGATGACAATACCACAAGACATGCAACAAGATGTAACACGGCTCCTCAAGCCATTCTTGGCCTGGAAGAGCGTGGTTTTGACCACCTAGCTCTCGCTCGTCGCGTTGTTTTCGGGCGTTCGGGGCCTCCAGCCTCGGGTTATTTGGGGCCCCATCCCCCCTGCGATCTATTGATCCCAAAAACTCTGCACAAACGCTTTGAAACTTGATAACTCTGCTCTGTTTGGGGATCCCATTTCTTGCTTTGAGGCCCACCTGCGCATGCGCCACTCGCAAAGCTTCCGTGGCGCTCTGGCAATTCCTCGGGCGCCAGCCCCGAAGTGAAGTAAGCTTCAGACGTTGAACGGTTTGGCCCCGCGCAGATTTTAGTCCTAGAGTTCGGGCTTGCAGGCTGAAGAGAGAGATGTAGCTATTCGGGACTGTTCGGGCTCAATGCTGTAAGCAGCATTGAGCAAGAGAACATTTCAGGATGCCGACATGCCATCGTGTTGGAGGAAACAGATCAACAGAACGTCGATTCATCCCCACCACACCTGAACCCTTCATGTAGAAGCCTTGGCAATGTTCGTACTGTTTCACTGCAACCTGCGTAGAAGTCTATTCGCTGCGCTATCTACCCAAAATCTTAGTCTACGATACAAGACACTAGATCACACTACCATACAGTAGATTGCACTACAACACACTAGATTACCCTAGATCTAGATTACACCAGATTTCACTACGTTGAACTACACATTACGTCTACATTATACTATTTTACGCTGCATTACACTACGCTACGCCACAACACTCCACACCACACGACACTACATCACTGCGCACTACGTCTACATTGTACTACATTACACTTCATCACGCTACATTACACCACACAACACGACACTGCACCACACTGCACTGAACTGCACTACGCGTCACTACACTTCACAACGCTACACATACAGTACATACAGTACATATATTACACACATTACGTACATGGCACTAACACAGCATCACGTAACATAGCAAAAGACGAAAAACGAGAACAAGGAAGCATGCAGGCATGCATGCATACATTCATGGCCATACCATGGCACACCCTATCTTATCTTACTTTACCTTACCCTACCCTGCCTTACAGTTTGATATATACCATACGCTACAATACCACACAACACACAACAATATAATAGTACATCCATCCATCCATCCATCCATCTATCTATCCATCCATCCATCCACGCACGGCAACATTGCAGTATCTCTGCGAAGGTCGTTTTTTTGGCCTCTTCAGCTCCAAGTTCCCAAGCTCAAGCTCGGGCCACGCCCCTCCGACCACGCCCCTCCGGAGTGATTACACGGTCCTTGAAAAAGAAACTCGTGACTCAACTTAGGCTTCAGTGTATAGCCTTCGGCTCTGACGGCTGAGTTCCATTTGGCCGTTAGGAAGCTTGAACACGAAAGTTCTGAATCCTGAATCCGACAGGCTGCATGCCATCTCAATTGATCCCGGTTGCAAAGATCAGATAAGTCTAGGCCAAACACTCGAAGCTAGATGTGCCCCAGGCTGCGATTCCTCCCTGCCTCGCCCCACAGCAGCCACAACTCGAAAGGCCCTGAAGGCCCTAAATTGGCCCTAAATCCCCAGCAGAGGACCTCTCCGCGGCCGACGTCCGCGACTTCAGCTTTGTGAGCTCCACCCGGGCTTGCAGCAGAAGGTTCCGGCTGGGTCCTGGCATGCCAGCAGCCGTACTTTGCTTTGCTAGCCGCTTCCAGCTGCCGTCTTGTCGTCTTGATACCCACCAGCTGTGAACTACTACGACGACTGCGACGACGGCGACCACCACCCCCACCACCCCCACCCCCACCCCCACCCCCACCGCCGCTTTTCTGGGTGTGCGCTGCTCACCTCGGATGTTCTGCAAATACTGGTATCGTCCGAGATGAACCGAGCATATGTCACACGGGGCTTGAGCCTGTTTTGCACGTCCCGGATTGGTGCCTTCCAGTGCATCCGCAGATCTAGCGACCTGTCATGGTGCCATAATTGCAAAAAGGAACCCCCGAACAGAACCTCTAACCAAAGTTGACTAAGGGCCCCTAGGCCCTAGGCCAGAAGTGCAAGCCACCGAAGCAACCCGAAACCCCATCACTTTCCCAGGGACCTTGCCTCGGTAGGTGTCGTGCGCTTCTAGCAGCTTGGCTACCACCACCTGCATTCGACGCTCCACAGGGAAGAAACTACGGATGCCCTGCATCAGTGCTTTTACGGCCAACAGTATCTTGCTTGTACATGAGACCTCGCCCGGTAAGCCCATCCATTGAAGTGTAAGGCTTAGGAATCACTCCACGGTACGAATACTCCCAACTCGGGAGCGCCTTGGCCTCATTCAGCGAATGCAGGGCCTCATCCGCCTCCCTCTTCAAGGCCTGGAAGATTTAGGAGGTTGGATTCGGGCCTAGGCTTCATACCGTATGCGATTGAGCAAGGCGTTCTGCCTCGAGCTCGGCGAGACCCATGCCGGCGAGAGCTGCTGCCGACCGCGGGGCGGCAGTCGCCTGGAAGGCAAGGCGGCCGCAGAAGTAGGGACGATGCAGAAATTCTGCTTTGATCTTTCCGATTGCCTGATTCTTGTAGACTTGTAGAAGTATGACTGGAGTAGTAGTACAAGTAGTATAGTCAGTAGTAGCAGTAGTAGTAGTAGTAGTAGTAGCAGCAGGTGGTAGTAGTAGTTAGCAGTAGCGATAGCAGTCGAGCTAGCAGTAGCAGTAGCAGCAGCAGAAGCAACAGTAGCAGCAGCAGCAGCAGGAAGAGCAGGAGCAGCAGCCGTAGCTATGGCTGTGGCAGTGGAAGCGGCGGCAGACGTCGCCGCAACCGTCGAAGTAGGAGTGGAGGTGGAAGTAGAGGTAAAGGTGGAGGTGGAGGCGGCGGTGACGGTAGTGCTAGAGCTAAATGTAGAGGTAATGGTAGTGGTAATAGAAGTAGGCAAGTCCCTGGGGGTTTTCCGGAAACCATGTGGCGGTACATAACAGAAGAACTTGTTGCAAGAGCTCCAAAGTACCGCAAATACCGCTGATTTTGCACTTACGCAACATAGCTACTCTACTCGGAACACGTTGTCTCCGCGCGTATTTACAACTGGCAGGTACGCTCTCGAAGATGTTAGCAAGCAAGGCTTAGGCACACTTCGAACAACGAATACATGCAAAAACTCGAGGTTTTGTCTTGTGGCAACGCGCAGTAAGATTGGAAAACATGACGAAAGTGCTGGGTTCCATGGTGTATTCGCAAAAGGGTGCCGGACTCACTGGTGTTTACAATACTTCGTAGACCTCGACAGAAACAGGGAATCCCGATAGTCGTGGTTTATTTTGTGTTTCGGTTCAAAGTCATGGGTTACATCTGCTGATGCCTGAAAGAAAACATGCAAAAACTGAGGTTTTGTCGGGTGCAAGTGCGGAGAAGTACTTCAGCACATTAGGAAAACCTGCGTTTCACTGCGCATTTGCAACAAGAGTAGCCAGTTCACTGGTATTTGGAGTACTTCGGACATGTGGAGAAAGAAAGAGTTTACCGATAGACTTGGTTTTATGCGGTTTGGGGGTTTAGAGTTTCGTAAAGTTTAGCACGGGTTCAAGGCTCGAGGTTTAGAGTAAGTCTTTGTATTTATTGCTCGCGGGGTTGCGGCTTGAAGGCTTGGCAGTGAGCATGAAGGCACCTCAGCTAGTTTAGTCCTCCCACAGAGGTCGCTCGAAAGCGTCACTAGGTTTGCGGCAGCCGCGGCATTTGTCTTTGTGCACTTTTCGTGCACGTAAGACACTGCTCAGGCCAGGATTCTGGTGAATCCAATGCGCTCAACATCATCATCAACATCACATCATCAACCTCATGATCAACCTCATCATCAACATCACATCATCACCATCATGTCGTCATCGTAATGTCGTGAGCATCATGTCGCCATCGTCATATCGCGATCACCATGTCGTCATCACCCCCCCACCCCACCACCCCCCCAAGCTTCACACATGATACAAATTCACGTCCGAAATCCAACCTCCGAAGTCCTGTACACAAAGTTGTTGCCGGAGAACCCCCCAGGGACAGACCTCACAAGATCTTGTTTCGGAGGCGGCGAATGTCTTGACCAGAACTGACAACATGTGACCCA